AGGAGGAGGAGGTCCCGCTCAAGAAAGAGAAAACGCATTTCACCGTCCGGCTGACGGAGCTGAAGCCTGCTGACAAGGTGAAGCTGATCAAGGAGGTGAAGAACTTCGTGCCGGGAGTGAACCTCGTGCAGGTGAGGAGGGGGCTGCCCGAGGCCCCGGCCGCCCCGCCGCGTCGCCCCCGAGCCCGGACGGGTTCTGAAGCGCGTTGCGAGCGGTGGCCTCAGTTCTCTGTTCAAAAGGGAGCCTGGGTTTCCGTGTTTAGGAGAACTCTGCCTGTGTGCACGCCTCAGTGCAAAGATGTGGACGAGGTGTTGAGGAGGAGTCGGTTGCATCTGTTTGTCTGGCGTTTTTTAGAGAAGGCTGTTCCCTCCCAGCTCTGCTGTGTGGCGAACAACCGAGCCCCTAGCAGAAGCAGTGGGATGAAGAAGGAGGCTCAGAGCGAAGACCTCAAAGTCCTCCGTGCCAGCCTCGGCTTCTCCAAACCTAAGAGCTGCTGTGAGCTTTCCTGCAGAACTTGGGAGTAGCCAGGATTCCTCACTACAGCTGGATTTGGCTTGCCTTCCCCTAAAGTTTTTTGCTTTTTCAAGGCCAATATATTTCTGAATTTAGATGAGTTTCTCTAATTCACACATCTTGCAATCCACGCTTCCAGTCCTTTTCAGAGCTCTTTTTGTAGGTGATGCCTCCTCCTTTTTCCTCGGAGGAGACGGGCCTTTCACAGTCCTATGCAGCGTCGGAGCTCATGCCCTTGAGCAATGATGTAGGCTCAGAACAAAGAATGGGTGATACAGCTGCTACTGCGGAAGCATTTAACATGCTTCAGTTCTCCACTGGATGATGCTTTCATATCTTGGGGATAATAGTAGCACCTTCTATTTATCCAGTTCTAAGGAAGAAATGTTGAGTGTTGTGAAATCTGCTCTTACTTGTAGCCTGGGATATCAGAAGGATTTGCAGAAAATCTTCTGACCCGTTTATATTGATGCATTGCAAAGCAAACAATTCAATAACAGAGAAACTCTGGTGGCAGAGACGTGAGTTTCGTTGGCTCACTGGGATAATTAGCTGACTATCAGCTTGGTTGGTCTGGCAGTTGTTTATCCATTATCAGTCCCAAGCAAACATTAAAATACCAAAACCCTGTAACGGACGCAATCAGCGGATAATGAAAAGCTGTCTGGAGAACTAATGCTAAATCAACTTGGCTTAGCATGTGGAACCTGTCAAAGAAGCTGGTTACGGTTCCGATGCAGGTACAAGGTTGGTAGATGCAGATTATTGCAGGTAAACTTTGTCAAGTGTGACTTACCCGACCTGGTATTTTGGTTAAAACACACACACACACACACCCCAAACTGCTACTGATGGTTGGTTCTGTCTACAGAGGTTGTATTCAAAGTGTAGCTGGTACATTTGTATTGTAAATTTTATTGCCATCCAGTTGAGGTGTTTTTAATGAGATTTGTAGGGAATCTATTTTTTGTAGGGAATCCTTTAAGGCTGTTAATGATTTGGAAGAAAGCATTGCTAGTAAAATCTTCGGTCGTCGTGTGCTGATGTGACTCGAACAGGTCAGCCCTACAGAAACGACTGCTTGATGAGACAGGCACGTCGTCAGCGCAGGCCGGACTCGAGTCCGTTTGCACCTCTGAAAGCTTGTTCAGAGCCGGCCCAACACTTACCTTGCGTCTTCACCAGCCCTGGGCGGGCGTCCTCGTATGCTCTGGCTGGGATTGGAAACGCGTTGCCTCTCTGCCCCGTGGCCGTTACTGTGCAAGTCCAGCTTGGCTCGGGCCCTGCTCTTCCTCCTGCTGGGAGCTCTGAACAGCTGTTTCCTTTGACCAAGGCTGCTTTAGAACAGAAGTTAAGCATTAGTGAGCAAGGATCTTAAATGAATAACCTTGATTGTGTTGCCTGTCCTCATCACGGCAAGCCAGAACGGGCTCCTTTCCGGATACTGTCCTGGGCTCTGGGGAGTAAAGGCGTGCCTGCCCTGCCGAGCTTTGCCTGCACAGCTACACCTTCTCAGCCCTAGCAAAAAAAGCGTTTTCTGCCACCACGGATACGTCGTCACTGCGCCCAACGTGAACTAAAACAACAAAACCTTTCTGTCGGCAATGGTCAATCTGTTGGGTGCTGAATACCTGTAGTGCCACACAGCAGAGAGCTGGCAGCGGCTCTTCACCCCAGGAACTTCCTTGGGCTTTGTTTTTAAGGAGCCACATAGGTTTGTTGCTGCTGCTTGGTGTAAGAGCAAGAGCATCTGACTGCAGCAGGGGCTTATCCTCCCGGGCTCCCTTCCCTTTCTGTACAGCAGTACTGCAGGAAGTCCCTTTAAATCAATTCAACAGCTTTTCAGTTTGCCTTAAATATCGCGGTACTGCATAGTACCAGTAGTTCTGTATAAAAAGTCCTGAAGCTATCAAGATTGTATTGTCAAGCATAGTCTGTACTGGAACTCTTTTTTACCCGGTACAGCGGATTCCCGCACAGCCACGTACAAACCCTGAGGTGGCCTCTCCTCCCCGCTGGCGGAAATATGTGAACCAAAACATTCGCGCTGAAGAAAGTCGACCCAACGCGGGCCGGTAGCTGCCTTGGCAGGTTACTGCGTGCGTCCCAGGCACTTTCTCAGACTGGGGCTGCACCTCTGGGAGCACCGCGCACGCGGTGGGAAGAGTTACAGTGGATGTGCCGTCACTTGCAGTCAGGTTTAGATGTCTTCCGGCAGGATGTGCTGTAGTTCAAGTAAAAGTCTTGGGTTTTAGACCAGTCGGTGAGTTTCCCTGGGCTGCTTATGCAGAGGTCAGGCTCATGGCTCTAAATCTGTTAATCTGGTTAGTGAAAGCCAGTTTACAAGTCTCATACTTTGTCCCTCCCACAGGCAAAGAAGCTGGTGGAGTCCCTTCCGCAGGAGATCAAGGCTAACGCCTCCAAGGAGGAAGCAGAGAAGATCAAAGCGGCGCTGGAGGCAGCAGGAGGGACTGTGGTTCTGGAGTAGGCGGCCCCGTCTCGCCACGGAGGGACTGGCGCAACGGCAGCCTTCCCTGCTGCCACCTGACCGGGCGCTGGCCGCTGCCCGAGCCGGGGTCTGAACGTTTCCGAGTGCAGGACGTCCCCTAGTTGTGCGGCGGGAATGCTCTCTCGAAGCGATCCGGCGTGAGAATGCTGTACGGTTTGGCGGGGCTGCTGCCTAGTTCCGGCATCGCAGTGGACTCTACCTTCATAAAATGTCCCAAAAAACCTGTAAAACGGTTAATCTCTCAAAAACCAGCCCCGCCTGATTGTCCCCTGGGCTCCATGGCGCGGACCCCAGTACCGGCGCTGCCTGTGCCCGCGGCACCACGCGGCAGCCCCCTCCTCAGGCTGCTTTTCGGTGCCGCCGCCGGGGTGCGGCTGGGATGGTTTGACCTCCCCGTTAATTATTCGCCGTT